GGGGGGGTGGCCTCGTTACGCGTTGTTACGCAGGATTTGAATGACTTCGCTTTTCAAAAAGAGCTGGAAAGCTATGGCTTTCCAGCGTATGTTTATTTTACAACAGTTTTATAAAATTGATACATTTAGAGTGGGAACTTTTCCACTGTGATCGATGTTCCGGGCCAATCATAAGAATGTCACTGGTCGCACGCGTAATTAATGGCCTATTTATACCTGTGTCTTATCTCTTTTAGAGATTAAGAGTGGGGGAGGAAGGGTCATCGTTACACCCCCCGTCCTAGACCCAGCTTGCTCCTGCAAGGTGTTAATTTATAACTACAGGAATCTTTTCTTTAGGGTCTAAGGGTAATTCATATCTTGGTGGTGCGTCTAGCAGCTCTTGGGTGGGCGCGTTTGCATTATAAAATACCTGAGGTTTTACATTTACGCGGTGAGTGATTTTGGGGCGAAAGATTTTGATACAGATATTTTTTGGAACGAGTTTGCCTAATAGTGAAAAAAGTCCACAATGGTAAAAAATGTAGAGTATCCCTAACGTGATTGCTGTGTAGCCTAGATAGTTTGCCGATTCTGTTGCGACTTCAATCCAATTTTTATGCTTGTGATTTCGTTTGACTTGTTTGATATTCTGTTCAATCTGGTCTAGATTAGTACTGAGCATTCTGTATGTGTCAATGTTTAGTGTGCCGTGAAGTGTAGGTATTTTGTCGGGGATTAACTGTATGTCGGCTAACGAAAACGGTAACGTAATGTTCGATCTATAAACTATTGCTTGTTCGATTTTGTAAGTTTTGGCTAAACGGTGTGTGAACTGATCACCTAAGAGTGAGCAGGCTTCTGTAGAGCGGAGTATGGTTGGTCGTTGTATCTCGAGGCGTGTGGTTCCTTTATCCTATATGGCATGTATTGTGAGCTTGTATTCTGGTATGAGGATGTAACCGTCTTTTATCGCGATTATTGCTATGACATTGTTGCGAATTACACCATTTCTCTCGCATCGCGGCATTTTATTTACAATAAAGAATATTAACTATAACACAATTCGATACAAATACAATTCACATCTTTCAGAAGTGGGATGTTGATCGTTCGACGGTCCGATCTCGACTCTTCGATTGTCCGTTGGTAACACTCTTTTTTGCGTGGCAACCCCTATCTTCTATTATTCTTTAAGTAGTTGTTCACAACAGGGCAGTTTCACATTACAGTGACTTGATTTGGACAAGTCGCCGTAACAATATGAATTTTGAATAAACTCTTGGTGCAAATTTTGTCGTTCATGTTGATAGTCTTTTCTCTAATTAGTCTACTGTCGCACGTGTCGATGGTGTTGATGAGGTAAGTGGGTTGCGTGTGTTTACAATATCGGACGTTGCGTGTTTCTTACAATTGTTGATCCATTATTGGTCGACTTGTATGTATATATATATATATATTTAATTATAAATTAATAATTAATAATAAATATATTTAATAATTATAATAATAATTATGTTATTAATAATTAAAATTTTAAATAAATATATTTAATTTTAAGAAAATATATAAAAATAAATATTTAATATATATACAAATATATGTAGTTAGGGGTAAAAGAGGATGAAATTAAGATTTTGTATGAGTGGAGGTATATTTTTAATTGAAATTTTAATTAGTAGATAATTAAAATTATATAATTCATTATAAATGGTATTTTTATTTGATTGGTATATTAATTAATATTTTATTTAAATTATATTAAATTAAAGGTATTTTAATTATATTAATTTGAATTCGTTATTATAAAAATGGTGGTTTATAGGATAATTTGTATTATGTATATTGATTGAAGGGATTTTATTAATTTCTTTTAAATTACCAACCTAAATTTTGCAATTCTCCCATCTCCTCAACCGGAAATATTTTTCCGGTGTTAATAGACGTGTATCTATGATTCCATGCTTACTCATGGTGATGGCAGTTAGGAGTATGGAGGCGACGTCTCACAGTCCTTGCGTAATGGGGATCATAGTTTCTATGGCTTGCACCATCCGAATCTGTTGTGTATTGTTGAGTGTCTCCATGAGTGCATCGTAGTTTGTTCTGCTACCTCTGTTGACCTCTTCTAGTAGTACTCGGATCACTGCTGTCTGGTTTGATATGCTGCTTGCCAATTTGTGCTGTCCGTCGTAAATTTTGTCCATTTCTTCGTGCAGGTTCTCCAGGTCATCGTTGTCAAGTGTGCCGAAAAGTGTTTTGCTCAGTGACCCGATTGTTTATCATATTGTTTATCAGTCCTCTGCGGTGGAGTCGGTCTCTGCCTTCGAGTATTCGTCGGTAGGTGTTTTTCATAGTTTGTCTTAGTTGGTGGAGTTCCCCTACCTCTTTGCAGTTTTTGCATTTGTTTCTCAACA